TTAAAGAGCACATCAGAGTGTTTTCCACAACCAGTGGCGGCTCGGGGTTAAAGACAATGGGTATTTTGCAAGATTCTGCCTCCTTCCCAATCCAAAAAAAGCAATTATTATTTTACAGCTTTTAATTGCCTAATTATTTTTATACATTAATTCTATTCTGCGGTCCTTTTTAGCAGCAAATTTATGCTCATACGTTTATTTAAAAAATCTTTTTTTCAAACTACCATCCATGTCTTTCACGTACAAGTGAAACGCGCGCTGGCGAATTAACACAAACATATAATCTACAAAACCGAAATAGAATCAAATATGCGACAAGCTATAAAAAAACTCGCCGATCTGGTAAAAATGCAGCCCAAACTCTATATGTATTGGCGTTACTTTTTAGAGATCCACGGGAAGGTGAGACGATGAACGCGGGAGGCCCAAGAGGTGCACAGCTATAGTTTATTTGAAAATGAAGGATAGCAAAATTTTTATGACTCCGGATAAACTCCAATATAACATCATAAATCAGCGACGGAGAATTTCTAAATTAAAATGTTTAACATTATTTGTTCAAAAATAAAATCTTTGGTTTGCTTCCTAAATTTTTTAAAAATACCAATTTATTTCAATTCTTGTCTTAAATTTTATAGTCATTTATTTAAATCAACAAAAATGAGGTAGGAAAATTAAGAAGAGAAGACAAACATATTTTTTATTTGGATGAAACATGGATAAATAAAGGACATTTTGTAAAAATAGTTTGGCAAGATAAATAGGTTACAAATGCTCGTCAGGCATTTATAGAAAGTTTGTCTACTGGTTTAAAATTTATAAATGGTAAAAGTCGCCATTTGATTATCACTCATATTGGAGGAGATAAAGGATTTGTTGATAGAGGCTTGTTAGAATTTGTTTCCAATTTTACGAAAGACTATCATGAAGAAATGACTGCTGATGTTTTTGAGGAATATTTCAATCAAATTAGAGATTGATTACCGACCAATATAATCAAAGAAATAGTGGCAGAATAGGGATTACTCAAAAAAGAGCTATTGCAGTTATGTAAACAACATTCACCAAAATTTAAGAAGTATAGTATAGATGAAATAGCAAAAGAACATGGAGTTAAAGTGTTGCGGTTACCACCTTATCACTGTGATCTTAACCCCATTGAACTAATCTGGGCTCAAATGAAGGGATATTGTCGCGTAAAAAAATACAACATTTAAACTATTTGTCAACTATTATGTGACTTCATATTAAACATTTCACCGAACAATTGGCAAAACGCTATGAGACATGTCATAGCAAAGAGAAATTCTGAAAACTTCTTGATATGTTAATAGAGGAAACAATAGGACCAGTTATTATTTCCGTGGGAAGTGAGGAAACTAATGATAATGATGATGACTCCGTATCAGGAGAAAACGACTTATTTATTTAGGTATGTAACTCTATATTTATATTAATTATAATAAGTTTATATGACGCTAGTACCCGAAATACAAACAAATTTATATGGAATTTCTAAAACCGAAATATGAGAAAATATTTTTTTGCACAGATTGTCCTTTACTATATCATATAAATTTGGTTGTTTATATTTATTATTAAATTTTAATTTAATGTCCTACCCTAATATCTAGTATACTATTTTTATAAAAATAAATGTGGATACTTAATATTTCGTGAGGTATAGAATTGGTTAATCCCTTAAGGTTTGCTCATTTTCATTTTTTTATGATGTATTGTACTCGAGATTTTTCGGGGTGATCATACCAAAATCTAGTGAAAATTCAGATAAGAAGGTATCAATATTTACTTTTTTGCTACTTTAAACAATCCTGTATATAGACCTTTGACATAAAAACTGTGCTATCATGCATTTTCAAATAAACTATAAGAGATGAATATGGCCTGGCGAGTTTTCTTTAAGTCTTCCACTGGTCCGCTCTGAACTTATTCTCAGCTATGAAATGATAGTAAGATATGTATGCGCGCTATGGATACTATTTAATAATTAAAATTAATGAGATAATCTAAAAAATGTATTTTACGTATATTTTAGAATGTTTAAAATAATTTTTGTGAAATTTAGATGTGATATTTGCATTTTTCTGGCAGTTCTGCAGCTCTACAGCACTTATACACCAGCTGCCACTGTCCACGACCAAGCAAGTTCCGCGTATAGTCTTGGCTTCAGTTTTCTGGGATAAAAATGGAATAATGCTGATAGATTATTTGGAAGGGGGTAAAACTATCATGGGATAATATTATACTGAGTTGCTAATTACGGTTACGCAAAAAAATTGTGGAAAAGCGCCACGAGAAACTTACCAAAAGTTAATTCCGATGCAAAAGATTTATAAGATTGGTTTTTAATTGCTTTTGATTTCTCTGGATTATTAAAAAAAAAAATAAACACTTAAAAGGTTTAACAGATTTTGGACAAATAATGATGACATATGTGCCGTTTGAAGACCAAAACAAATATTTTTTTAGATAGCTTACAATTACTTTATTAACGATGTGCTAAATGTGTATATCTTAAAGAAGATTATGTCAAGTAAATAAAGTTTTGAAATATTGTATCATTTTATACGATGGTTGAGTATTTAACGTTACCACCCCTCGTAAGCGGAAGAAGTTTTGAACATTCAAAGTCACATGGGATGGACTTTGTGTCTTCACTGAATAGTTTACTTGCGAAATATTTGCTTTTGCAGAATTCATAATATTGATTTCTATTAATAGATAATTAGAAAATGTTTAGATTTTAAAACATTATTAGTAGTACCGATAGTTAATTTTGATAGCAAAGCCGATTTTTGTTAATGTTCTCATTTCTTATTGGTCAACGTTTGGAATTAATCAACAACTCTTCGTTATCTTCATCTCCAACGCATACATGCATTCCCTTTTATGGTTGGCCATGATATTTTTAATTCATAATTTGACATAAAGATTGACCATTACTGTGTTGCCAGATATAGACCAGAAAATCACAAAATAAATTGAACAGCTTTTTTTATCATTTAAAAAAGTTTAAAATTTCCAATATTGCCAGTCAACAGTTCTTCTATGTTCACATAAATAGATTAGAACAAATAAAATATTATGTCTTGGTTGTATGCCACTATGATGGGCCCATCTTAAAGTATACAGTGATGACAAGAACAAACCTTCGGTCATACTTGGCCAATATTGAAATAAATAGTAAATGCCGTTCGCGGTGCAGGATAAGAAAGGATGTGTTATCGACATTGCCTGCGAATTGAAAAACTGGATATTGTGTCGTTTATTTTCATGCACATGAGAGCGCCATTTACTATTCACTCCAACACATGTAAAGTAGCATCAAAGGTTTGATCTTGCCAACACTGTAGACGAATACAATATCATCAGTGGTTTGAAAGAATTCGTGTGTCATTTCGTCGATAATGATATCGTGTCGTGCACTGCGCGACGCGCGAGAAGCATATTTTCGCTATTAAGCCTTCATGATACTAAAACCATCATTTGGATTACATGATAACGAATATCGTTAGGAAATTTAACACCTAAGGTTTATGATCGAGAATGTCGGTCTCTGTTAATATATTATCAAACGCAAAAAGAATAGGTACTATAATAAATGTAACGATCTAAAGGCGTCCCTATACTGACAGAATGAGTTAACTGCAAAATCTTGATTTTGATGAAATCGTAATTCGAAATTTGGACTACTTTTACTTCTACCAAACAACCCTATGTGAAATTAAGTGTTTTATTGATATTAACATTGTGCAACTGATTCTAAGAATCTTTCGTCGGAGAGAAAACTAAATAAAGTTATAAAAATCTCGATTTTTGTTTAAAAAGTTGCAAGCAGATAACGAGGCGTGATCAAAAATGTGCTGATGTAATTTATCCTATATCCTGATCTGTTTAGACAGGCATCGTCAAGTTGGAACACGTTCTGACTTGTCAGTCAGCGTCCAAAGCCGCTAAACTGCTAGATTGGGGTGGTGTTTATCGTTTGTCTCGTATCATGGATATCGAACAACCCGTGAAAATTAAGTTCTGTTTCAAGTTGCAAAAGTGCCAAAGAAACTCATGAAATGTTGAAGTTGGCGTATGGCGATAATGCTGTAACTCTGAAGACTTTTTACAAGCGGATAACAGTCAGTAGAAGACGAGCACCGTTCAAGACGTCCATTAGCCTCAAAAACAGAAGAAAATGTGCAAAATGTGGCAAGAATTGCTCGTTCGAACAGACAAATAGATAACTATTCGAGAGAGCTTACCGAAGAATGACAGAGCAGCTGAATGCCCTTCCAAAAGAAGCCCTCCAGAAATCTGCCCTCCTAAGCGGTATCTCAGTTGAAGCAAGTTTCGAGAAAAAAAGCATTTTCTTAGAGTTGTTTTCGTGTTTCCCCGAGACAAAAAAATAATTAAGGTACCGCTGGATTAATAAAATTTTTTTGTCATTGAAAATTAATTTTAAAGTTCTTGTGTCGAATATGGATATGCACCCATTTAGCTTAGTAATGGCATACCCCTAAGCCTTTTAGTAAATACAAGTGAAGTTGAGATATGTAAATTTATTATGGTTTTGTTTTAATATTCTGAGTGATATTTTGCTATTTTTCTTAGATCATATGATGCGGAATTTTTTAAGTTAACCGATGCGTTAAAAAAAATTAAAAGGTCATGTTTTTGAGATACCGCTTTTTGGCATAAGGCAAAGGCAGACGACAAACGACAGGCAGCAAGCGGCAAATCCTACCGTATAATTACATGTGTTCAGACGTGAAGAGACCGTTTTCGGTCTCTTTCGCTGTCGCAATACTTAGGTGTTAAACGTGTTTATCATGACCGAACTCATTAACTATGGGCTATTTCACTTGACTGGTTTTAATAATAGATATATTCGAAATTCTCATATTTTTTAAATATTTGTCACTTAACACTTTTGGCAGTATAGAGACAAAATATTCTTCTGCGATATTAAGAAGTCATCTTTCACTTACCAATTCGGCTTCCGTACTAGCAGCAACTTGTTCCTGCAAAGTTTTCACCCAATCGGCAAATTCTTCTGTGCTATCTGCCTGTAGAAGAAATTCTGATCGACAGGGCTTAACGGACGAAACTCTGAGCACATTTTTCCGTTTCGTGTAATCCTCGGCAACACGTACGACGCTGGTGCGCATATCAACTCCGCTCGAAAGGGATTGGTCCAAAGAGTCGAGAGTACCAACAGGACTCTGAAACAAAAACAATTATAAAAAAATTTAAATAGAGCAGTGATTTGGCATCCGTTGCCGTACACCAAATATTTGAGCCCCGGCGTATGGCGCTGGAAGCAGAGTTAACTTGTTTTAAATAATACTCTTTCTATCCAATAAAGTATTTACAGTTTTGTTTTGTTCGATTGTGTAAGTAATGTAAAGAATAATAATGACAGCTGAAGACAAAATTTTATTCTTAAGAGTCCTAAAATGCTTTTTTGAATATTAGGAAAGTATAAACAAAGATTCAAGAATAATCGAAAAATAAAGAAACATAAATCCAAAAACTGTAGAGAACATAAATTATACATATATTTTTAATAAGGCAAACTTCAACTTCCTCTAATATTAATAAAATAAAAATTCTCTATTTCAGTTTGGCTAGATCTAAATTGAAATTTGGTCTCAAGTGAGTGTCAAATAAAAAAGAAAATGAAATTGAGAAGATACAAAATAAACTTCTTCTTAAAGCCGTTTTCACGGCGCAAGTCATTGCTGATATAAACAAACTGTCAACCAGAATATTTGGACATTGTTTGGTAAAATATAAAATAATATTTTTGTATCGTGTTTTGCATTGATAAAATTGTGTTTTTCCGTAATACTTTATCAAATAAGGGGTACATGTAAATTGGGTCCCGAGTAAATCAAAAGTAATATGCAAATTAGGTCCTGTGATTTCTATTTTACATGAATTTCGGTCTCGGCCACCCCTTGAGTAAACAAATTAAAACTGACAGTAATAGTTATTGAAGGGTTTTATTAATTGTTAAATTAACATTGAAAGGATATAAATTGAAAGGGAAAAGTTATTTGATAGGAAATTTGCTATGGCAGGGATTAAATTTCGTCTTTAAAGTCGAAATTAAAAAAAATACAGTGTGGCCCGCTACACCTTCGAAATAAAGGGTATGGAATGCAAGAAATATTTCATTACAAATTAACACTTTTTTAAAGGCGACATATCATTCAACAGATGCACTGTCTTAAATTCTACATCACACTCGTAGGTCAGGTACATATGTCGTAAAAGAGTGTGCAAATCTCTTGATGGAACCTAAAACATGTGTTGAAAGGCCATCAACGCGGCCTTGAGAACGTTTTAATTTAATTCGGTTGCACAACTATTAGATGCGCTCAGTTTGAGAAAATGTTTATCTTTATTCTTATCGAAAATTCTTGAACAGCCAATGGCGAAAATCAAACAACGAAAAATGGAAAACCAAGAAATAGTAAAAAAAAATCGAATTTGTTATATGTATCTGAATAATTTCCAATTCAATATTGCACTTTGTAAACATAGTGTAAAATTTAAATCAACGTGTGGTACTGATTATTATTTAAATGAAATAAATAATTAACTACGTATTACATACTAATAGCATAATAAAATTTATATAAGAAAACAATTTAAAAATTTGCTCTCGTACAAACGGTATAAACATCATACGCATTACCTAAATAAAAAATATCTGATTTCTGAAATCACATGTCTATGGAACAAATATATATATACAGTAGAACAAGTATAATATAAAATTTCAAAATTATAAAAACTAATGAATTTTTTCGAATAAACTACTAAAAACCCAAAAAATAGTGAAAAATACAAAGTAGAATAACTGTATAAATAACTGCGTTTTTGGATTCAAAAATATCTAAAAAAAATTGGTCAGATACATAAAAAATGCTATCGTATGTGGTTAATTTTAAAAATATCTGTTCCCTTGGATAAATTACTGATACCGATAAAATAAAAATATATTATTATGTCTCGCTATAATGCATCTCAGTTATTATGTATGTATTTGCAATAAAATAACAAGAATTATTTTTTATATGTAGTTTGTTATTGACATTGTAAAACATGTAAATAGTCAAATAAAAATGATTTATGTTAGTTTCTCATGTATTTTTTAATTTAAATTAATTAATAAGTGCTTCTCGTCTTCGTTTTTCCTGATTACATTTGGACTATTATTTGCGTAATATCATTTTCTAGTTCCTGAAGGGTTTCAGCTAGGTAGGCGTTTTTGGACGATTGGACCTTCTCAGCACATCTTCATTCTAAATCTGACTTAATGACGTGTAGGTTCAAGTCTAATAGTAGTTTTATGCTATAAGTACCTATGCTTTGAAATTACTAATTTTAATTCTTACCTCTTTTTCGGTTTGAACTGCATTGACATTAAATTTCTGTTTGTAATGGACAGTTTCAGAAAAGGGTTGAATAGTTTTTTATATTGCAAATTGGCATATATACTTTAAAAATTGTTATAATTACTTGACATACACCACTTTACAGTTTTTCCATTTACATAGTCCGAATTTTGTCCAAGTTATGGTGACTTTTTGTATGGATCCCACTCAATATATCTTGTGCGCGACTTACCTATACAGCTTCGCTATTGACCGAGATGATATTATTATTCTCATCGAATAAAAGATATCAATCTAATTTAAGAGTGAATAGATATATTTTATATTAATAATGAAAGTTGCAATTCGATTTTTGCTGTTTTCTTTAATTCCTTTTTAGATTGTTTGTACCTAGAGGCTCGGGATTAATCATAATTACAAATAAATAGAGAAATATTGTTATTAATGGCTTCATAGAAAGTTTATAATTACTCTTTGTCAATCAACGAGTTGATTTTTATGAAATTCTACTGAATTGATTTATATTATATTTTATTTAGTTATTGCATAGTTGGACCAATTATTGAAATCATTTATAAATTTAATAAACTTAAATGGTATAGTTAGTCATGACCTAATTCAATACCTATAATCTGAACACATCTATTTTCAATTGGGCTTCATGCTTCATTGTAAGAGTCAATTTATCGTCCAAATCGTATGGTGAGTTTGAAATTATCAAAGTTGACAGCATTTGGGTACCTAGGTGAAATACATTTGTATGTACTATAAGAAGAAATGCATACCTTCAATGAGACAAACACTTTGGCATCTTTTGTGCAGGCGTTTTTTGGGGCGATAAAAATCGCGGCGTTTTTAGATGAAACAAAAATGGAACAAGTTTCAGCGTATCTTGTGGCGTCCTGCTTTCAAATTTGATTAGTTAGTAGTGCACATCATATTTCAACGACAGTGTAAAATGAAACATGTGTTATGCATTTCGTATACAATCATATTATTCAAAAGAGACGCCAGAGACGATGGGATGTTTGTATTGTTCTGATAATGAATCCCACAAACATCGTTTTTCTTTCTTTCACTACGTGATAAAAATTTCAGAATCGAGATTTTTCATATTTCTTCATACATCTACACAACTCTGCATACTGGCAACATAAGGAGGCCTAGAAAATTAAATAATTCGGTACCAGCGATAATAAACGCGTTGAATAAAAGCAGCAATTGAAATCAACGTAATTTTGGAAAGCCTGTCATGACGCGTTTTGTAAAAGCAGGCGATAGGATTTGAGAACGCGGCGAACCAGGCGAAGAAGGACTAATCGACATCCATGCATAAAAGCGCACTTAAGAAAGAATGTGCTTAGAAAACGCCACGATTTTTATTACCCCGCTACTATATAAGCGACAAAAAACGCGTAAATAAAAGAGTCCTTAACATGAATTATTCTGTAAAGAGTTTATACAGGGTGGTAGTACATTCGATCGACAATGCTCTACCCTAGAGGGCTCTCGTTAATTTATGAATTTTTATACAACGACATGAACCCAACAAGGGGTTAGTTGCCGAGAATCAAAATTCAAAATTTGCTTAAAAACACCTTAAAATATTTTTTTTTCAAAATTGAATTACCAAGAGCTTGTCAAACACACGAACTATTGAAAATTTGACACGCACCTACTAAATTTAGAATTTAGAAATATTGAAACGTTTCAAATTATCTAAGTACATACAGACTTTTATTTAAAAGCATATTTCTAAAACATCGTTCATTTTGAGCTCCATAAAAGGTTATTACTTTTTTAACTGAAAATGAACAGAAAATTAAAAAAAAATAAATAAAAAATACAAATTGTTCCAGTGCCGTAAAAAAAAATAGGGCGAAAAGTTGCAACTAACCCTAAAAAGTTAGTTTATCTCAAAATATTACTTTCATAAAGAGCATACAGATAACCAAATTTGAAAAAATATTTAAGACATTTTTGATTTATAGCAAATTTTGAATTTTGATTTAAAACTTTTAACATCCTTTAAGGATTCAACAATTAACTATAACCCTTTAAGGGTTCATGCTCCTTTATCAAGATTCATCAATTAACGAGAGCTCTCGGAGATAGAATGTTGTCGGTCAAATATATTAACACCCTGTAAATGTTGGTCTAATTTTGAAAAGTGAATAATTTACTGGCTTTGATTAATTTTACAGGTTACTGCATAAGTTTGATTCCTTAAATACTTCCACTATTTGGTTTAGGAATTTTAATTGACATATTTGAAAAATTTGTAGTGTTATACCTATGATTTATTTATTTATTCATTTTACTTCATGCTGTGGAATATATAAACATAATATATTGTTATGGTAAGTATATATGTATGTATGAATATAAACAAACCTAATGCTAGTATTTTTCGTATCTTATAATAGTGCTGTGGGGGTACATCTGATATTTTTTTCTTTATAATCCTAAGAATTTTATTCTGAATGACTTGTAATGGCCTAAGTGTCGGTTGATACAGGCGACCCCATGCAATAATTTCATAACGTAGTATAGATTCGATCTGCTAAACTATTTATACAACATATTAGTAATTTTCGAATAATAAACTAAAGATAAAATTTATATGTATATACAAAAATCTAAGTTTTCTGTTACACATGTTATGTAGGGTAGTCTCATTTTATATTTTAGTCAACTATAATGGCCAAGTATTTTGATGTTTTTGTCTCGTGAAGCTCAGAATGTTAATTTTGACACGTTAATTTTTTAAATTGAGGTTGGTCAGATATTCTTTTAGAAAATGCAACATATTATTT